ATGGGCCTTGTCACCACTATTGTCTATACAGCTGTCCCTCCACATTTGCAGCTTTGACTTTTGAAGATGTGATTATTTTGCAGTTTTGATTAATATGTTCTCTTTAGGAATCTCTAGGTCCTCCAACACATTTCTACCAGAAGTTGACCATAAAGTTGTGCTGGAGAACCTAGAAATTCCTAGAGAAAACACTTCTCTAAGCATTTATAGGTCCTCCAGCATGATCAACTTCTGGCAGATGTTGAGTTGCACTGGAGGACCTAGAGATTCCTAGAGAGGTGTTATCTTGGGTAAAAAGAATAGCAGTTTTTTATTTGTGTTTTCCACATTCACAGCAGTCCTTCACCCCAACTCCAGTGAATGTAGACGAGGGACACCACTGTATTTCCTCAGTCTTGGCCACAAATTTGATTACTACCCGATTCACTCCTTCCAAAGATGAAGAGCCAGTGAAGGGCAGATGTAACAATATGTACAGCACTCAGAATATAAAGTGCAGGTTATTAACCAATATAATTTTGTTTCTTTAACATATTAGGATGGATTTTAGCATCTAACAGAGCTCTGTAATTCTCTGTATTGATCTTATGTAAGGAGACAATAGATAGGAGACCTCATTACATATAAACAGTAGCAACCCTGATACAAGTTAAGTGGGAGAGAGCCCAAGAAACAAATGGTCATAAAACCAAAGTGTCGTCAGCACAGTAAATACATTCTCTGGAGTTTGGGACAGAGGTAATGTGCCTGGCACCACGTTTATGAAAGGTACTAATATGAACAGCTGAATATTTGCATCATGAGAAAATGATGAATGGACTGTCTTTTATATCTTGCTGAAAACAGCATAATAAGGAAAACAGAAACTATTAGGCGCACAAGAGCCTCTGAAGAACATTAAATTATCAAACAGCCCCAAACTAAAATAAAATACTTTGATGTGTAGTCCAATGGTATGCATGTTTACATAGAAGTAAATTCAGTGAGACATGGGCCTTATTCCCAGGTAAATGTGCATAGGCTTGAACCAACCTGTGAGTAAGTTCAGTGGAATTCAATTGGGCTTCTAAGGAGATATGTATAGAATTGTGCTGCAAGTCAACTGTAGTGCATCAGATTAATGGCATAATCCTGTACATGGGATATATCTTCTCCAAAGTGATATTCTTCAAAATGGGCCTGAGGCATACATGTTCCCATCATGGTTCCAACCACATATGCACAGATATCTTCCTGCACAATGCATCCTCATTCAATGGGACAGCTTCTCTTTGTCTAAAGCCACTCCATCTTAGATGTGCAATGCATATTTAACAATAAACTACTTAGCTCATGTTGGCCCATTTCAGAGAAGGTTTCATGCCAGACTATCTCATCAATGCCTTGGAGAGATCAAAATTTGAAAATGCAGATGGAAAAGTTTTTACACCTGCCACTGGAAATATCTTCCTTCCTGTAAAAGAACATCTATGGGATGAACTATAGGTGTAAGACTCAGAATGTGATTCCGTTTAATAGAGTACTTTATCATGTAGTCAAGGACTGTCAACTGTGGTGGCGTAATGTGGAAGAAGTGTATTGTGGTCTTTCCAACTCTACTCTGAAGGTTTCACAGAGGTATAATACTGGGTATAATGAAGCAAGAGATGTCCCCATGGGTATTACTGCCAACACTGTGATTCATTAGGATCCTCACCTATTTACATAATGGATTTAAATGGTAATTAATTAGGATCCTCACCTATTTACATAAATCTTTGTGAAACTTGTATTAAACCATTAAATATGCCATTTTTTCTATGAATGAAACAGATCTGAAGGGGGAGATATTATTTTGTTTTGAGAAAATGTGTCACAGTAGGCCCCAATTTAGAAGAGGCATCCCTGTTTTTCTTTGAGAGGGGAAAGAGTCGCCTCTTCTAAAATTCTACCTACTGCTTGTAATTTAAAAAACTTTTGTAAAATGAAAAAAATACTGCTAGCCAATTAATTGAAGACTTTAAAAAAAATAAATGGTTTATAATTGATAAAGCTCATTAATCAGGAAAACATTGAAAATGAGTTATGCTGTGCTAGATCAGTCCAGCACTCTTGCAAAATGACTAATAAGAAGACTATGAGAAGCCCACAAGCAGGACTTGAGTCTGACAGCATTTCCCAACAACTGGCATTCAGAGAGGCCTACTGATTTGGAAACTGAATGTAATATTTAGCTACAATTACTAGCAGCTACTCATAGCCTCATCTTCCTTGGATTTGCCCAATCCCCTTTGAAAGGGTGTCCAAATTGGCAATCATCATCACACCTTATGGTAATTAATTCCACAGTCTGAGAATGCAGTTGTTGCAGTGAAACAACATTATGTCCCTAAATATGTTTACACAGGGAGGAAAACTGGGAGGAAAGGACATATCATTCCTTCCTGCAATTCTCATTTTATTTTTACAGTATTTTGTACAGTATATTCTGTTTTGTTAGCAAACCATACAGAATTGTCTGTAACTTTAAAAACAATGACTCTTGCAGAACATTAAGGCTAACAAATTTATTGCAACAAGCTTTTGTGGATCACAGCCCACTCACTTTATGAGGTGCATGATAACATGGTCGCCTGAGTAGATATATGATACATATGTGAAGGCTGAAGGGAACCATTATAGCCCACATAGGTTTTGTAATGACATTACATAAGGTGGCAGCACAAAAAAGCACATCAGCCTGCCGTGTGAAAATGCCCTTTGGATTAATGAGCTGCCTCTCTGAAATAATAAGCCTCTGTTAAAGATGCTGGAACAAGTTCATCACGTCCAGATAGCAACTGGCAGCTGAGAGAAAACATGCAAAACTGGCTGTTTGCCCTTGTTTTGCCATGCCAAGACTCCCCCCCCCTTCCTCTGCCAAGTCTTGGTGCAAGCTAGTGAATTGATCCCACAAAAGGTCCAGCCTGCTTCTTACTGGAAACTGACATGCCGTTCTTTGCTTCAAAGCCATTCTCTGGTGCAACTAATAAGCTTTCAAGAGGATCAGCTGCACTTGGCGTATCATTGTGACTCCTGGATTACACTCAAAAGCAGTGACATTTTAGACATACTTTTCACCGTATATCACCCCCAGAGCCCCGAGGTAAGTTACATCATACCAGTATCCCTCTGTTGATGAAGCAGATGTGTTCCTGAGCATTACTTCTTTAACAGAAAATTCTGTACCAGAGGCAGAAATAGCCTGGAAAGAATGAGGATAGCTTCCTTCTTGTTGTTCTGTGCCTTCCAATGAACTCCAACTTATGCTGACCCTATCTTAGAGTTTTCTTGGCAAGAATTGTTTCGGGGGAGGCAGTATTCAATGCTTTCTCCTGAAAAACTGGACTTACCCAACCTCACCCAGGGGGTTTCCAGAGTTGAGCAAGGAGTCAAATCCAAGTTTTTCTGAGTCCTAGTCCAACACTCAAACCACAGCAGCTCACTGGCTCTCCTGGTAGGTTCCTACACCACAAGAAAGAAAAACACTTCATATTTTTTTGGGCGGGGATTATTCAAAATAGTATTGGTATGTGATATGAATCAGGTTAGCCTTTCATATGTAAGCAAAAAAACACACACAAAAAAAACCCTTAATGTTTAAAATGCCTTTAGAGGCCATTTGAAGGCTTCTTCCAAAATGCATTCAAGGGTGACTTTTTCTTTCATCAGCCTCCACTTATTCGTGGCTCTTTACCTGATCAGTTGTAGGCAGACACTCCTGGCTACAATAGCATAGGCCGGAGTAGACTTCTACTCTTGCCCAGCTCAAGCTTTGGGCTTATTCCCACTATGATTTAAAGCGATTTGCTGATCGCTTCATATGTGCCTCGTTCATATTGTGAACAGTTTCAGACCCAACTGATATTGGTCAGAGTCACTTTGAAGCAAGGCGAATGCAAAAAAAATCACTCATTTCAGACACTAATTTTTGGTGGTTCTTTTGAAAAAAATCAAATCGGAAGAGTGCTCAACAAGTGTGAA